TATTATTGAATTGTCCTCATCAAGTATAGTTATAAAATTACAATGTGGACATAATTTTATGTAAGTATTTGGTTTTTCAGATAAATCTTGTGCTAAAATTTCTTGATAACGTTCACGCATTGATGCTGGTAGTTCACTATTATACAATATCGTTGATGAATTTATATCTTGTGAACATGCTGGACATTCAATTTTTGCTTTTCCATTACGAATATTTGTTATTGTATGAGTTATAAGACATAATGAACAAATTTTTGTTGAACAACAGGGCATTTGTTTTAACTCACTCAATCGAATACCATCACAACATATGGGACATTCACTTAGATCTGTATGATCATTTGAATTTTCAGGAAAACTGGTGGTTACTACTTGACTACAATAAAATAACAACATAATATGTTCATGTTGAATAGAATAATAATTGTTGATCTTTTCTACATAGTTACTTACTTTTCAATATATACTTTACTCATTGTAAACTGTATGGAGCACTCATTGAATTTATGTTTCTTTGAAAAAATTTGTTTTTGTATTTGAAACTGGGACACCAACATTATAGAAATTTTATACTTTTTTTCATTTTGTTACATAGAAGGAAGAAAATTTCATGTTGTTTTTTTCGTTTTTCTTCCCATAAATAAAAAAAAAAAGAAAAAGAATCACACATCTACTCAACGTCATTCTGTATGACTCTGCAAATATTGGAAATTCGGAAGAAAAAAATTATTTGTTTTAAGGATTTTTCTCTGATCGTAAAAGCTCAAAAAGGAAGTTGTTCAATACAAAAATAGTCTATCTGCGAAATAATCCAATTCCTATTACTGATTAGACATGAACTAATCTAAATAAAAGAAAATAGCCTCAAGGTCCAGTTAGATTAATGCAAAAAAATAATTTCATCTGTGCTTAAAATTTTGCCAGTAGTCTTTTATAAAACAACTAATATTTTCTATGTAAAGAATACAATAAGATTTGCTTTTTATTCATTAGAATTAAATAATTTTTTCAATTTACCCTTTATTTATCGTTGTTCCAGTACGAACTTGTGAAATATTTACTTCACTAAGTTCAAGAGATTTTGATGAATCAGTCATGAATCTTGATCTCAATGATTCATAATGGTTTAATTCAAATTCGGTATCATAATTGATTTTATGATGAATTTTGCTATGAGTATTCCGGTCTCTAAAATGTCGATAAGAAGGCCACACTTGCAAATGTCGATTTTGTTCTGATTGACTTTAAGCAATAGATATCTATTAGAAAGAAAGTAAAAAAATACAAGAAGACAGTAACAAAAGGAAAAGGAAGTTGTAGTAATGATTATTCAATTTATTTTATAAAAGTAGCAAAACCAAAAAAAACAGAAAGAAAGCATTTTTTTTAATGGTCTTTCTCTCAATGGATTTCTCCGTCATGACGAGAGTTGATGACAAACAATCATGGAGAACGAAGAACGAGAGAGAGAGAAGAAAAATGACTACAACTCCGACAAAACACAACACATATACATTGCATGCATGCTTATTCATTCTGTTTGTCTACTTGCGTGACGACCATCTTGAAAACGCCTGCCAGAATAGCGAAGGTGAGTAAAAAAGAAAAAAACATTCGTTCGGGTAAAACAAAATAACGTAAAAAAACGAACGTCACATGAGAAAGTAACCATTCGAATGAGCAAGGGAAAGAACAGGAAAGTAACGAAAAAATTAGCAGAAAGAATATTACATTTAATGAGCTGTTTTTTTTTATCAACAAGAAATAAAATGTTTTACACGAACTAATATCAAGATTTTGGATCAATTAGTTTCAATTATACATACAGTGCACTCATAGTTCTGTAGGTGTCAGTGTAAACCAGTAGATAAATCTTCGTAATATATATGTTCTTTTTGCATTAATTTATCATCACATTTCATTTTATACTCGCATGAAACAATAATATTTCAGTCATACATATATATATATATGTTGTATCTAACGAAAAGTTCATTTTAGTTAATGATTGGAAGTATGATTTTCATTTTTGATGTTATCACTGTATCTAATCGAACTATATGAGTGTATGGTGTTTTTGAAATAGATGAAATATAACGATAACATTCTTAATTTAGATTAACGTGTGATAACCGAAGAAAAAATAATAAAAGAAATAAAATATTTTCCGAGCAGTTATGTAGACAGAAATTTTCGAGTCATGATTAATTTTTCAATCGAACTATTTTGAAACGTGAGCAGTTGTCACCATCTTACACAAAATCTGTGAACAATTACTATTGAACCATTGAGTAACTGTCACCAGCTGAAAAAAAAGATCGTGGACAATTGCTTAATGGCCCATGGCTAGCTACACTACTGGTTTCCAGTATGGATTTGTTCCAGTGATGATTGTTGTATTCGACGAAAAAGAATAAAGATTATCATAAAATATCATATTCTTTAAAGCATTGATTGTGTCATTATTTACTACTGCATATCCGACACATATCGATGATTCAATAAAAAAAAACAGTTGAAGAAAGCAGTAAAAATATTTAGGCAATAAAAAAAAAGATAAAACAAGAGATAAAATTATAACATAGACATTATCACATATACAGTCAACATAGTGCGTAATGCATTTTTACCGTGGAGTATGATGCTGGGATTTCTAATAACAATAACAAGTTTTATATCAAATTCATGTACGTCGAATATGGGACTGATCAATACTAAATAGTACGAGTTATGACAGCTTTTCAATGTTGAATTCAAAAATGTTCTAAAACTTTACGTTATATCATCAGAGAAAAATTCCTTTTATGAAGGACTTCAAAGTAGATTTCATTTAAAATAATACATATCAAAAAGTAATATTTACTTTTTTTTTTTTAAGTTCGATGAATATAATCAGTATGACAACTATTAGCGTTTTTACAGCAGAAAGATCAAACGCCTTACGAACATAAAATAATTTCATATAGATCAGCTTTTTTTTCCATGCTTGTCGAATATATGTTTTTTTTTTAAAGTTTTTTATTCATAATGATTACGTTTCTTTAGCTTCATTTTTGATTATTGTTCTAATAGTTTCACGTCAGATATCCAGTACTTTAGGATATTTATCATGTTACACGAGATCTAGTTTTAACTAATTCAGGAAGGGAGCTATCCTCTGCTGATATAACATAGAGCTTTAGAAATATCCTGAATTCAACATTGAAAAGTTGTCATAACCCTTACTATTTAGTATAGATATATCACATGTTGAATGCACTTTAATTTGATATAAAATTTGTAGTTGGTTTTAGTTGAAATCTTGACTTTATCACCTTGGAAAAATATTTTTACACATCCTGTGCAAGGTGACATAAAAGATTTTGTCATTGAAAATCATAATAATCTAGGATAACTTTTTATTCAATGATATACTTTTCTTACAGGAAACAACTGTTGATGACACATAAACATGTACGAATATATAGTTGGTTGTCATGTGTCCCAGCACTATCATACAGACCAAACATGTTCTATATTATTTCAGTCCAGCATTTTTCTATCGATTAAATCTTAGACAATGATAACACTAACTGATTCATTTTCTTATTCATTGCTATTTTACGAAAATATCACATTCTTGTAAAAAAGAATAATAATAATGATAATAATAATAATAATAATATGTGTTTTAAAGTTTTTAATGCATGTAACACATACACAAAAGAAAACAAACATAATGATGATCTTATATTCCAGAAGCTGTATGGCAAAATATATGAAAATGACGACAAACAATCAGAAATATTAGAAAAACATATGTGTATTTGCCGATAGTTTTCAAGTAGTTACCGTCTACATGAGCTATTTTTCTCTCTCTCTATGTCTCTTGAAAATCGTTTAATACGAGAATAAATGTCTGCTTGAAGCTCTATCCCTCCCGTTATGTATCTCTCCACTTTATCGATAACGAGGTTCGTCACAAGTCCATGTTTGTGCTCGAAGATCTTCATGTTATTTTTCATTATTTTGTGTGTTCTACACAACAAAAAAGAACGACTAATAGCAATGAAGTATAGAAAAGAGAATCGAATAGACTAGAATGTCTTCAAGCATTTGTCTTCGTGTTTTCTCGCTTGCTTGTTCGCTCGATCGCTTGCAAACTGCTTACATACATGCACATATATACAGAGTAGAGAGAAGACACAATGAATTAGAACAAAAAAACCAAGTGATCTGAAAATCATCATCGTCGCCTTCTTTGCCTATCGTGCAGAACGAGCACAAACGCAAGTCAACGTGCTGCTGCTGTTGCACAGCTCGGAATACTCTTTGCATCATCGTCATCATCGTGCATCGCTGTTACTTCGTTTCGTTGTCGTCGACAACGACGTGGTAGTTGTCGTCGTCGTCATTCTTCTGCTTCTTGTCGCGCGTTTTCTATCTAAGAAATTATGGAAACGATATGAAGAAAAGATAAAAGAGAACAGAAAAGGAAGGAGAATAGGAAAAAGAATGAAGGAAGTTTCTGCATGTTACTGCTTCTTCTATTAGTTGGTTTGGCACTATTTCCAAAAAAAAAAAAATAAAAATAAAGCAGCCGACTGTTCCTCCTTACTACGTGTATGTGTGTGTGTCAGATCCTTCGCTCTCACTCGTTCTTTTTCAAGCGATCGTTATTTTTCTATGTGTCTCATTTTGACTGACTTTGTCCTATTACTACGACTACTAATACAAATAGTTTGAACGCACATGTATATGCAGATGCCAATACATTTATATAGATATATATAAATAAATACATATATGAATATATAATTCATCAAGACAAAAGAATCGGTCGCATACCACTTAACTCCTTTTTGTTTCTCTCGTGCGTTACAGATTCTAACGGTAAAGACTCATGTCGTTGCTTCCCGTCGAACTTGGTCAATTCCGCAGCGT